CCGGCGCAGCGACAGATGGTGAGCCAAGAGGATCCTGCAGTTTCTCTCTCAATGAAGTTGAGTAGAAGTTCACCTGGAGACCAACCAAGCCACAACTCCGCTCCACATGTCCGGCTTCCCGGCCACAGGGACTTGCAGATTTTCCCCCCGCACAGCCCCTTGGGGTCCTTCTCTTCTCTGCATCGGGGGCACCGGGGCTGGGCACAAGCCTCCCTCCCCAGCGCCCCAGGGCTGCTCCCCGAGCTCACGTTCAGCCCCACTCTTAGCTAATCCCTCCAGCAGAGGCTGCTTCCTGCTCCACCATCCCACCAGCATCTGTCACCAGTCTGCTGCGGCGAGACTTAACCAACTGCCTTTTGGCAATCAGAGCCCCGGGAACTCGGAGACACCACAGAGAAGAGTGGCAAAAGCCTCCCCGCCGATCCCAGGGCACGCTTGTGGAGTTAAGCCCTACCAGCACCGCAGCCCCGCTCGGCGAGTGATCTGCAGGCACCCATTAATCCTTCCATGTCCTGAACAGTGCAAGGGGGGAGAGGTGTTTTACTCATCTTCCAAAGGGTGGGATTTTGTGGACAGCGGGGACAGTAATCCCTCCCCACCAGGTACCATGCTCATGTCTTCCTCTTCCTCCTGCATCTCCCTCCGGCCCCGCTGGACCACGACCACGTTGCCCTGCACAACGGCTAGCGAGAGGCAGCTTTCCCCAGAAGGGAACAGCAACAGGGACCTTTGCTACAAGCACCCCACCTAAAGGGCTCCCACCCTGTGAGGCCAGGGCACGAGAAGCTGCTTTGGTCCAAAGACCTCGATTCCTATTTCCAAGCAGGACCCAGAGCACAGAGCTGCCAAGCTGCAGGGCAGAGGGCCGGATCCTGCCCTCAGAGGTGATGAGGGGCAAGTCTTGGGGTGACAGCTGAAGTAGCAGCTGTGCCACAGCAGGGCCCTGAGGCAGGGGGCACAGAGAGGGGTGGCTATGGTTGCCCCCCACCCAGCTATCATCCCTTGGCAGACAAAAGACCCAGAGAGGCACCTCCAGCATCCCCGTGAGCCAGCACTATACGGGAGGAGATGGGAAGGAGTGTGGGACCCCGGTCTTACGGGAAGGATGGGGCCGGGTTCAGCCGAGCCCGGACCAGGGGGGAAGCAGCCCCTGGGGCTGCAGGGCCAGCTCTACCCACGCCGGGGGACGCGCACGGGGACAGCCCAGGGCACCGGGCTGAGCCCACTGGAACCGGCTCCCGGAGGCACCTGCCCCACGGCACCCCACACCGGGGAGGGTGGGGGGCCAAGACAGGACCCGTCTCAGCCCCGACGGCTGCCCTGCTCCCCAAGGGCGCCCCGACGGGAGCACCGCTCCTGCGAGGACCGGCTCCCGGGGGCACC